AGTTCCATGCAGCCTCTGAAGAGATGCCCGGGGACCTTCGTTCTTCCAAATAAGCCTGAAAGCATCGATGGCGCCACGGTACTTCACAGCTTCGCCCGAAGTCATCATCATCCTGCGCCGCACGGTATCGAACGGATAGACAGTGAGACTGGAGAAAGTTGTCACTACCCATCCAACAGCGAAACTAGCAGCAAAGCTTCCCTGTGTCAAAACTTCGGAGGTTTAGAAGTAAAGCTCGAGAGAAAGATAATCGTACCTGGAGTGATCCCACCAGAACAAACGGCTTCACCGAATCATAGATGCCGAAGTAGAGGCTGCGGTATAGAACGATGCCAACTATGGAAGCGCTGAAGCCTCTGTACAAACCAAAAACACCATCGGTTGCCAGAGTTTTCTTGTATACATCGGTAAGACCTTGGTACTGGCGAGCACCGGTCTTCTCCAATTGTATGGTGTCGTTTGCGAGCCTGGTACGTGCAAAATCGAGCGAGTAGACAAGCATGGAGGATATCACACCAGCTGCTCCTCCAGCCGCCATGTTTCCAATTATCCATTTGCAGTGGCCATCGCGTTCTCTGCTCAGGCCGAAGAGATCCTTGATGTAATCCTTGAAAGCAAAGTTGAAAGCCTGCGAGGTTCACGTGAGAGGGAAGAAGTCTTGTGCAAGACAATCCATTAAGAAACAAGAAAGTTTTGCATACCTGTGTTGGAAGGTAGCGTATGACATTGGTGAGGTTTCCTCTCCACAAGGCCAACACGCCTTCTTCTCTAACAACGCGGTGCAAGCAGTCTCCCACTCCTTTGTATGGTTGAGTAAGGCGGCCTGAAGGAATCCAAAAGAGAAACAAAAACTTAGCGACGAGGAACAGAACTGCGAAAGAAAAAGCCTCACCGCTCTTGAGAAGCTCGCTTTGGTTCTGGATCAACAGCTTCACTCGCTCGAGAGGCGCGGCGGCACTCTTGGACACTGCAGCAGCAACACCACCTGAGATAAAATCGAGAGCAAAGAAGTGACGCTGCCGCTCGATAGCCGAGCACACTACGAGCGGAGGGCGACGATCAACTGTAGAAGAAAATCCCTGCTTCCTTCCCTCGTTGCGGGAACTCTGGCGCATTTCCACCATTCCCTGCTTCTTCTGGTCATGGTGCCATGACCGCAAACCCTAAGCTGGAGCCACAGAAAAAGAAGATGACGTCGTGACTCACTGGACCACTGCTGGAGCTTAAAAATTCGTTACATTGAGAGAAAAGAATTTGACAAATCCGTACCCCAGGAGCAATTTTTCCACAAAAACCATTCAAGCCGAGGAGTTGCTTTGCTTGTTGCTCCTCAAGTGCAACACGTTGACTTGGCCTTGTCACTGCCCTGATCCTTTGACGGGTCTAGTACTATATTGTTGATCCGGGGAGGCTGCAGAAAAAGATTTCACGTTACACTAGATCTGTGATGCAAAAAGCAGCTCCGCACCTCTGGTCTGGAGTCTGTTTCTGCCAGTCTCCGCTTGATGTCTCCCGCAATTGTGAAGAAGACCTTCTCCACGTTTAAGTTCGTCTTTGCACTCTGCAGCATTTAAACAGTCAGTACCGCAAGTCCGTGAAACAGAAGAGGTTTCAGCGAAAGGACTGCAAGTCAGAGATACCCACGGTTTCAAAGAACTTGATACCAAACTCGTTCGCAAGTGCTTGCCCTCTCTCTGTTGATACAGCCTGGGATATAATTCGGAAGAGTCAGAGACGCATGGGAAAATGAGATCCAGAGTTTCTTACCCTCTTGCTTTCGTCCATGTCGGCCTTGTTACCGACCAGGATCTTGTTCACATTGTCTGAAGCATGCTGCTCGATATTTCTGATCCAATTTCGGATGTCTTTACCGGAGCTGGATCAAGGACAACCAAAAAAAAAAAAAAAAAAAAAAAACAAAACAAAAAGAGAAAACAAAACCGCGCAAAGGATACTGTTAAACGAAGACTCGTCAGTAACATCATAGACAAGAAGAATGCCCATAGCTCCGCGGTAGTATGCTGCATAGGCAAGAATGGAATTTAGCTAGAAAGTATATGGAACTAGAGCAAAGCAAAACAAACCAGTTGTTATAGTCCGGAAGCGCTCTTGCCCAGCGGTGTCCCATATTTGGAGCTTGATCCTCTTGCCATCAAGATCCACAGTCCTGATTTTAAAGTCAATGCTGCGAAGAAATGGTCAGCCAGGCTGCGCATTTACAATGTGACATATACCCTATCGTTGTGATGAAGCTCGTTGTGAAGGAATCATCCGAGAAGCGGAGCAAAAGGCAGCTCTTCCCCACACCTGCTACGCGAGAAGCACGTAAATCAACCGAGGAGAAATATTTCGAGCGGATCATAAGGAGATCTCGCTCCACCAGGAAATGCGCTGCGAGATTTTCGCTTACCGCTGTCGCCGATGAGCAGCAATTTGATGAGGTAGTCGTAATCTGCGCGAGCTCTCCCCGCTCCCGACGCCATTGCGACTGTGATCCAAGCTCGCGATTCGCGGCGAAGGAAGATCGAGAGAGAGCGCCCTTTGAGTAGGGTTTTGGAAAATGACCGAAAGCGCAACCCCGTTTGTGTTGGTCTCTCGTGCAACGCTGTCAATCCAACGCTCCAGAAACCATCCACGTGGACGGCCCGGCGAGGTCGTAAAAATGGCACAAAATAGCATCTTAGCCGTACTTTATCTCGTTCTCTTTAGGTCAGCCAAGATACTCCATGCCCTAATGGCCACTCATTCGTTAGCCGGGCAAAGCTAGGGCAAGAAGCGCCAAGGTAGGACAGTAGATGGGAAGAATTCTAGTGTAGAGGCATGGACGACGAGCAGGAGCAGGAGCAGCGATTAGAGCTAGAGGTAGCGGCAGCGGTGGATGGAAGCAAAGATGGGAATGGAGTGGCCGAAATGGAGCGAGACGAAAATCTTGGAGCTGTGGAGCAAGCTGGGGAGGAAAAAATCGTCTCGGGAGAACAGGTCAAGGAGGAATTAAGTGGCAAATTAGAGGAATCGCCAGCGGCGGCTGATGGAATGGAAGTTTCAGAGCAGGACGAAGCTCCTGCCAAGGATGGAGCGGCTACTTTCGGTGAGAATTGTGAGGAGAAGACGGAATTACAGCGAGAGATGGAGCTTTTCGAAGCGGCCGAGAAAGAGGATGAAGCCAACATTCTCTCGAAAGCGAACGAGAAGAAGAGGGCTCAGGAGCAGCCTGCTCAAGAAAGTCGTAAGAAGCGGGGAAGGAAGGCTTCCGTGAAAGCGTCATTTAGGAAAGAAGAGGATGACGTTTGTTTTGTGTGTTTCGACGGTGGGGATCTAATTCTGTGCGATCAAAGGTGACTATTTTTTTGGTTTGGTAGGACACTTCGACTAAGTTTGTTTTTACAGGACATGCCCAAAGGCGTACCATCTTGGCTGTATCGGAAGGGACCAAGAGTTTTTCAGGAAGAAAGGAAACTGGCACTGCGGTTTGTGTTTTAGCATGCTTGACTTTATGTAACCTCTTCCTTGTGTAGGCTGGCATTTTTGCGATGGAGAAAACTGTTCGAAGAAAGCAAGCTTTCGGTGCTATACTTGTCCAAAAGCTTACTGCGCTGGATGCAGGAGTCGACACAGTTTTAGTTTATTTGACAAGAAGAAAGGCTTGTGCGAGGAGTGCGTGAACTACGTTAAAATGATTGAGCTCAATGAAACCGTAAACGCTGAAGGGGTAAGTTCACAACAATTAATAGTTCTAGCAAACGTCTAACTCGATGTGTTCTTTCAGAACACGGTCGATTTTAATGACCGCGACACATACGAATGTCTGTTCAAAGAATACTGGGAGGATTTGAAGGCGAAAGAGACGATCGTTTTGCCAGAATTTGACAAGGACGGAAAGTTCGTGAATGCTACACCTGCAGCAGATAGTGACGGGCGGTCGGACGACGAGGCTTCAAGTTCCGAGTCAGAAACGTCTGCAGCTGTGGTGATGGCCGACGACGAAGATGTTCCTTTTGGTACTGGGATAAGGAAAGAAAGGAAGACGAAGATCCTGAATGCTCTCTCTGACGAGTTCAAGTGCACTGTAAATCAGGAGCAGAAGGAGCAACCTCTTACCGAGGATGTCGATGAGAAAGGAGAAGACGAAGAGGAAGAAGAAGAGCAGGACGAGGAAGAGGAAGAGGAAGGAGAGGCTTACAAGCCTACGGTATTTGATGGCTGGGCGTCAAAGGAGATGATCAGTTTTATCAAGTTTATGAAGGAAGATCCAAAGACACCAATGAAGAGGCCCGCAGTTAACAAGCTTTTATGGGATCACATTAAGGCCAACAAGCTCCAGAATCCGCGGAAGAAAACCATCATAAGATGCGACGAACAACTCCGGTCTCTCTTCGGCAAGAAGGCCGTGACTCAGCGCAGTTTGATGAAATACCTCCACAACCATTTTCCGAGCAAAGCTTCAAAGACGGAACAAGCCGAAAGCCAAGTCGATGACGAGAAGGGAAAGAAAAACAAGCGAAGCCTCAAGGGAGACGAGTATGCGGCGATAAACCAGAGCAACATTAGTCATGTATATCTAAGAAGGGCTCTACTGGAGGACATGCTTGGCGATCCTAACTTTGAGCAGAAGGTGGTGGGCACGTTCGTAAGGATAAGGGTTCCAGGCAAAAATGATATGTGCTACCGTCTTGTTCAAATAGTTGGTAAGTAGTTTTTATTATATGCGTGGCTCGCTAACGATGTCGTATGGTTGCAGGTACCAGATTACAAGCTGAGGAGTACAAAGCGGGCAAAAAAAGTACGAAGATCGTTTTACTAATCACGAACCTACAAAAGAAGGAGGACCTGACAATTGACTTAGTATCAAATCAGGATTTCACCGAGGTATGCGTGTTGACCATTACAAAATGCCGGATGCGTTACAGTAATTACTGCAGGAGGAGTGCGCGCGTTTGCGGCAGAGCATCAAATGGGGGTTCATCCCGGCTCCAACTGTGGTATGCATTTTGCTGTGAGATTTTGCGTGTTCATCTGGATCTAATTAAATCCATGACAGGGAGACTTTGAACGTAAAGCGCTGTCTATTCGAGAAGCGAAGCTTAATGATGTAAATGAAAATGAGCGCTTTCGCTTTGTTAATCTTTTATCTCTGTTGTTGCAGTGGTTCGAGACAGAAACCTCAAGGTTAACCGCGCTCAGGGATCGTGCCAATGAGAAGGGTCGAAAGAAAGAATATCCTTTTTGTTTTGTTGTCGAAATTGTTGCCAGCCCAGTGTAAGTTTCCTTAACTCCGTTGTACATTGAGGGAATGCGTGGAGAAGCTTCAAAGGATTTCGAATCAAGACTATCGCTTGAAGGAGTTGAGCAAGGTCCCAGCGTTTGAAGCGGACGCTACTATGGACCCCGAGCACGAGGAGCCAAGCGACGAACCAAACCCAACTGAGCAGCCAGGTAAGTCGATGTCTGTTCGCTGGTACAGTGACAGCTCACTTTTTTTCTTGCAGCTGAAGTAGCCAGCACTGCCGAGAAGAGCCGAAGTATTAGAGAAGAGCATCAGCCTAACAAATGGGACAGGAGAAACGATCCGCCAGCTTTCACAAAGCAAGACAGTTTCAACAAGAGAGACGGTTTTGAGAGAGGATGGGACAGGGATCACGATTGGAGAAACGAGGGAAGATCAAACGGGAAGTTTGGTGGACATAAGAGCGCAGAACAGAAGGAGCCGGTTTACGGAGGAGGGTCTTTACCACTCTCACGGCCTCCACCACCGCCACCTCGGCCTCCACATCTTTCAACGCCTCCAGCTAACATGAACGCGCCGCCGCCACCCGAGATAGCAGAGAAGGAGAAGGCATGGTTCTACCAAGACCCCAAGGCTATAGTCCAAGGCCCCTTCTCGTTCGAGCAGCTCAGGAAGTGGAGCTTGACGGGGCTGTTCCCGGCGGATCTCAAAGTCTGGAGGTCCGGCCAGCGAGAGCAGGCAGTTTTGCTAGTGGAAGCTCTAGCGGCGGCGCGTACGCCGGTGGCAGCGCCGGCGGCGGCTTGGGGTGCTCCACCACCTCCGGCGCTAGACACTGGACGGACAGGGGGCTGGGATAACACAGGTGGTGGTAGAAGTGGCTGGAACGCTTCGTCTAGAACAGGAGATTGGAGTAGCACAGGTGGTCATGAACGAGTAGGAGGAGGAGCTCCATCGCCGCCAAGTGACCCGTGGAGCCAGAATCCAGGGAGGTCCGACGGTGGTGGCGGCGGCGGTGGTAACTTCAACGATGGTCCGTGGGGTGCTCCTCCACAAGCACCGCACAGGAGTCCCGGATGGAGAGACCAGTCTCAAAACAGCGGCTGGGTGGACAGGGGCGATAGCTTTCGGAGCCCGAGAGTGCCTCACCAGCAGAAGAAAGGCACGCCATGCCGGTTCTACCAGAAGGGATTTTGCAGGAACGGCGATTCGTGCCCATTCCAGCACAGTTGAGAGGAACGATTCATCGTAAGTTTCGGAAGTTTGGATCCTTCGTGTACCAGGTACGTTCGTTTTCCAGAGGACTGTACAAACGAGAACAAGAGATATATGTGACAGCTTCTTCTAGATCCCATCTCTCGAGGACATCGTCTCTCGGCCTCTGTTTTCCAGGCTCCCGTCCTGGAAAACAGGGGCCTTTTTTTTTTGGTACGGTCGTGATGAAGGTCTACCGTACTTTTGCCGTA